CAACAGTGGTATGACATGTACATTATACACGATCCAGCATGAGTAACAGTGGTCTGACATGTACATTATACACGATCCAGCACGAGCAACAGTGGTATGACATGTACATTATACACGATCCAGCATGAGTAACAGTGGTCTGACATGTACATTATACACGATCCAGCACGAGCAACAATGATATGACATGTACATTATACACGATCCAGCATGAGTAACAGTGGTCTGACATGTACATTAAACATGATCCAGCATGAGTAACAACGGTATGACATGTGCATTAAACATGATCCAGCATGAGTAACAATGATATGACATGTACATTATACACGATCCAGCATGAGTAACAGTGGACTGACATGTACATTATACACGATCCAGCACGAGCAACAGTGGTATGACATGTACATTATACACGATCCAGCATGAGTAACAGTGGTCTGACATGTACATTATACACGATCCAGCACGAGCAACAATGGCCTGACATGTACATTATACACGATCCAGCACGAGTAACAGTGGTCTGACATGTACATTATACACGATCCAGCACGAGTAACAGTGGTCTGACATGTACATTATACACGATCCAGCACGAGCAACAGTGGTCTGACATGTATATTATACATGATCCAGCACGAGCAACAGTGGTCTGACATATACGTTTTGTTGTTGAAAAGGTTAACGCAAAATATATTGGATCATAACTTCCTCATACGTGCTTTTGTTAACGTTTCTTCTGCTCTGTCTAGATTCGTTAAGCTACGAGTCACGTGCGTGCAGTAGTTATCTTTGTACGTACTCTTTTTTTTTTCTTCTGAGTTTTACCTGTCATAGTCGCCAAGTTAGCTCTACCCAAGGTTAACGATCTCTGCGAAACTCGAGTAGCATGGGATACGACTGACTGATACTAAAGATTCTTTCTCCTGGCTAGGGCCTTGCCCTCCTTCTCCCGATTAGTTCTAGAAACTGGGTCAGTCAGTGTTTTCTGCCAACTTCTAACAAGTTATCATACTTTCTATTAAAACACGCAGGAAGAATACTAGGTAGTAACTATTTCTTCTACAAAGATCTTGCCGTTTATGCTAGAAAATACATATATAAATGGTCTACCTTCTCGAATAATCAGCTAAAATCCGGAGTTCGATTCCCCGTAATGGAAAGAGTGCTTTACGCTAAAACAAACTACAGAAGAAAAAACCCACTCCGTGTGGTTGAACAGAATCCAAATGATGCAAAAAACACAAAACAAAACTGAATATACTTTTAAAAAATGTTTTATCAAGTTAACCTGGCTTTAGTATCCTTTCTATGTGACTTTTTTAGGATACATCCAAACAGTTTATTCGAAGTTTCAAATGAATGACCATTCTCACAATACGTCGTTGTTTGTCATCGGTAATAATTCCATTTTATTTTAGGGCTTGTGAAATTAAAGGGCTCATAACTTTAACGTAACGCTTTTGAGTCGGTTTGTAAACGCATTTGTGTCTTTCTAAAGTGACTTTGCCCCACAGTGGCTCAGCGGTAAGTCTGAAGGCTTATAAAGCTAAAAACCGGGTTTCGATAGCCGTGATAGGCACAGCACAGATAGCCCATTGCGTAGCCTTGCGATTAACAACAAAGAAACAAACTAAAGTGATTTTTATTTTATTAAACAGACGCACCTGTACAACAAGTGATGTACGCATGCTCAAATCTACTTCGGTCCGAGTCCATTTTTTTAAAAATAGAAAATAAATAAAAAACTTGTACAACGTGCGCTCTTAGTACAACCCATCAGTATGTAACTTCCGGGCTCCTATAAGGCCGATTGACATAGTCTGAAAATCCTGAGTTCAAATCCCGCTCAGCCTCGGTTTTTCATTTCTTCAGAATATTTGCTTTGGTTTTCTGCTAAAGGTGTAAAACCAAGTGTAAAATTAGCAATAAATATCCACCAGGCTTCAGTACCTAATAATACCCTGACTGTATAGTTTGTTTAGAATTACTTGTAAACTACACGAGGGCTATATGATTTAGCCGTGACAGACTAGAGGGAAGGTAGCTAGTCAACACCACCCACTGCCAACTCTTGGACCACTCTTTAACCAACGACTAGTGGAATTTACCGTCACATTATAATGCCCCCACGGCTGAAAGGGCGGACATGTTCGTTGATGGGGATTCGAACCTGCCACCTTCAGATTGCGAGTTGAGCGCCACAACCACCAGGCCAATACCCTGATAATGACGAGTTTATCGCTACAATACACTCATTCAGATCGTTATTGTGGAATCTATCATAAGCCATGATTTATTTTTCGAAATCTCGACATTCTACTTCGCCGGTTTTGCCTAAATATTAAAATAAAATGGCGTAGAAGTTGTGAATAAATACCCCCCCACGGTACCGTCTACTTCTTAAACATTTTCTCCTATTTTTAGATACGTTCCTGAAAATTGAGTTGAATTTTATTTTGAATATAAAACAAACAAAAAAATGCTTTATTATTATATACATTCTGTTTGTATTTCTAATTTTGGTATCTACACCAGTTTTTATCAATGATTTGTTACTAGGCAGGGATCATCGCTGTGTTACTTAGTTACAATTGTGATCATCGCTGTACTCATGGGCGCCCACAGAACTATTTTCGGAGGGGGGAGGGGCAAAATATGTATGTATGTAGGGGATCAGCTTTTACAGTGTAAGTCAACAGACTAATAGAATGTGTGTTTTGTACGCAAAAACAAATTTACAGTTTTAATAAATAGAATTACTAAAAATATTTAGTTTAACTACGCTGTTACGTTTACGTCATAATACGTGCAATTTTTATGAAATGTAAAGGGGGCAAATGCCCCTTCTTGCGTGCGCCCATGTCTATGCTACTCAGAGCTACAATTAGGATCAACGCTTTGTTACTTAAAGCTACAATTAGGATCATCGCTTTGTTACTTAAAGCTACAATTAAGATAATCGCTGTTCTACTTAGAGTTACAATTAAGATAATCGCTGTTCTACTTAAAGCTACAATTAGGATAATCGCTGTTCTACTCAGAGCTACAATTATGATAATCGCTGCGCTACTTAGAACTACAATTAGGATCATCGCTTTGTTACTTAAAGCTACAATTAAGATAATCGCTGTTCTACTTAAAGCTACAATTAAGATAATCGCTGTTCTACTTAGAGTTACAATTAAGATAATCGCTGTTCTACTTAAAGCTACAATTAAGATAATCGCTGTTCTACTCAGAGTTACAATTAAGATAATCGCTGTTCTACTTAAAGCTACAATTAGGATAATCGCTGTTCTACTTAGAGCTACAATTAGGATAATCGCTGCGCTACTTAGAGCTACAATTAGGATAATCGCTGCGCTACTTAGAGCTACAATTAGGATCATCGCTGTTCTACTTAGAGCTACAATTAGGATCATCGCTGTTCTACTTAGAGTTACAATTAGGATAATCGCTGTTCTACTTAGAGCTACAATTAGATAATCGCTCGCTACTTAGAGCTACAATTAGGATCATCGCTGTTCTACTAAGAGTTACAATTAGGATCATCGCTGTTCTAATTAGAACTACAATTAGGATCATCGCTGCGCTACTTAGAGCTACAATTAGGATCATCGCTGTTCTACTTAGAGTTACAATTAGGATCATCGCTGTTCTACTTAGAGCTACAATTAGGATAATCGCTGCGCTACTTAGAGCTACAATTAGGATCATCGCTGTGCTACTTAGAGCTACAATTAGGATCATCGATGTTCTACTTATAGTTACAATAAGGATCATCGCTGTGCTACTTAGAGCTACAATTAGGATCATCACTATTCTACTTAGAGCTACAATTAGGATCATCGCTGTGCTACTTAGAGCTACAATTAAATATTTAATTGCTACTTGCATTCTGAATGAATTTCATAATTTTTATAATAAAATCAAATATAACATTTTCAACTAAGTCGTTATCAACTATTTGTTAATTACAGGTGTCGTCGCTATACTAGTTGGAACCACTGTCGCCATTATAGACACCCTTTTTCCCAACAAGTTTTCCACAATTTTGGAGGTCGACTACGACACTCCTTACAGTTACTTTGTAGGTCAGGACAGCAACTCTCTCACTAAAAGTGGCTTGGTGACACAGCCAGCAACTTTCTCACCAGATGGCGCTATGCCAGGGCCAAGCCAGGATGGGGTTGATAATGCAGCTTACGAAAACGATGACAGTGACGTCAGCACGATTTTCAACGGCAAGCGAGCAGTGAGTCTACACTCTTTCGGCAAATTTACCCAAAGAGAAACCGTGAGAATGGGACCAGTGTCACCCCTTAATCGGTAGGTGGCGTTACTAGTCTATATTTGTTTGTTGTTAGGCGCAAAGCTACACATTGGTGCATCTGTTCTGTGCCCAGCACGGGTATCAAAACCCGCTTTTTTAGCGTTATAAGCCTTCAGACTTACCGCTGAGCCACTTTGGGGGGGGGGGGTATTGGAAACCATCATGCTGCTGTGAAACAACAACCAGGAAACTGAAGAATTTTAATAAAATGATATAGAAAAATGACACCTTTTACACGTAAAATATCAATTAAAACTAACTTAGAAAATCAAATGGGTTTCTTTTTTTTCACCAACTTCTGTCATGAGTTTTTCCTAACGACCTTCTACTTTTGGTAGAATCATTTCTAGAACGTTTTAGACTTGCAAGTTTTCATTACTTCTTATAGAACTTTTAGAAGTTACGAGAAAACTTCTAACTATTGTGAAGGTTTTACTATTGCAAACTTCTGTCTGTTGTGGAGATCTAAAACTGTAAACCTATTTTTTATGTTGTTGAGAAAACTTACTATTGTCAACATTTTTTCTTTTTTTACACACTGAAAAACGTCTGTTAGTATACACTTGGTTATTTGTTATTTAACCTTTTATGAGACTGACCATTACATGAATATTTTTCTGTTATAGTAGATTTCCCAGTATGCCGAGAAATGTTGCCTGTCATCGCTTTGAAGAAATGAGCACTGACGTTCAAGCAGCGGCCATGTGGTGACGCCCCCTATTGTACAGATAAAAGAATTACAGGAGGAAAGAACATGGCACACAAATCTGAATAATTATAAAGCTTAGTCAAAACTTTCTCTGTGGTGGTTTGTTAACTATTATGGTACCACGTACGTGCACGCAAATATATATTTAGTATTAATCGATCACGTAGTCTCAAGGAGCCATCTAGTGGCAAAACATTACCATCGATTGTGAATATGTGAATAGCTAAATATGCAAATTATTTTCATGTGTGTGTGTTGTTATAGAAAATTCCCAGAAAAACTCGTGGCAAAAAATATAAAAAAACATTACTAAAAATACATGTATTAAAATTACTGACAAGGGAAAAATTAAAATATATTATTAGTATTATTCAGAAAATTATTAATAATCTTCCTAGGCGCGCATTAATAAAATTAACTGTTACAAGGAGATACCTAAATATTATTTTTAAATTTTACGAACTAGTCCAGTGCGTTATGATTTTGATCGCTTAAATAACAATGGGGATAAAATAGCATTCTGGTTTGACGAACTTGGTGTTAGTCACATTTGTAATGGTAACGTTTTAATCAGTGACTTTCATATGATTGTAACTCTTTAAGATCAATGTATAAAGCAAGTCACAAAGAAATTTATCCTAGGGTGTGCTAAGCCTAATATTTCTCCGTGCCATGCTCTGTTGGAATTATATATATATATATATAATGCCTTTTTGTCATTGTATAAGTTGATAAATGCAAAAAAAATCTTCACCTAAAATACAATATATTGAGCCAAATTCTCAAATTATTGAAGTAATTGCCGAACGTTTGTTATTCCAAAGTAGGCTTAACCTTTATACATACGCGAATGGTTTTTAAAATGGCTGAAGTAACAGGGTTAAGTTATTTTGAAAGTTTGTGATTTGTCAACATGTGAATTAATTATTAGATATCGCAAAGAGATTAAGTGGTTATATGACTGTCACATGTGGTTTCCATGAGAAACTTTTAATGCTGATGACCAATAAAAATGTTGTTTGATTGCTACTAGATGTTCTCCATTGTCATGCTTTATATGCAGCGGTAGATGCTTATACAGTTGATAAAGCAGGAACTGTCAGCAAAAAAATTCGTTTGGGATAATACGTTCCGATAGAATATACAGTTTACATAAATGTTTTTACATGGATTAATTAGAAACACCTCTACAGTACCTTACGGCGTTACACGGATTAACAGGAAACACTTGTATAGTACATTACGGCGTTACGCGGATTAACAGGAAACACATGTACAGTACCTTACGGCGTTACACGGATTAACAGGAAACACCTGTACAGTACTTTACGGCGTTACACGGATTAACAGGAAACACCTTTATAGTACATTATAGTGTTACACGGATTAACAGGAAACACTTGTATGGTACATTATAGTGTTACACGGATTAACAGGAAATACCTGTATGGTACATTATAGTGTTACACGGATTAACAGGAAACACCTGAATGGTACATTATAGTGTTACAAAGATAAACAGGAAATACCCGAAGTGTTACACGGATTAACAGGAAACACCTGAATGGTACATTATAGTGTTACAAAGATAAACAGGAACCACCTGTATAGTACGATACAGCGTAACAGGAAACACCAGTATATTACATTACGGCGTTACACGGATTAACAGGAAACGCCAGTATATTACATTACGGCGTTACACGGATTAACAGGAAACGCCCGTATGGTACATAATAGCATTGTATGGATTAACTGAAAACACATGTATGGTACATTATAGTGTTACAAAGATAAACAGGAAATACCTGAAGTGTTACACGGATTAACAGGAAACACCTGTATGGTACATTATAGTGTTATATAGATTAACTGGACTGATGTTTGTACAGAAAGTAAAACATCACAAGGGGTATGAATCGGTTTTATAAAATTTGTTTTATTACAATGAGATTTAGAAATAAAAAAAAAAATACTGTCCTCCGTATGTTTAAACTGAGCTATGTACGTCACAGCGAATATTGTTATTTGCACAATGTTGTACGGTCAGTAAGGGTGATGCAACGCAGGTCGCTGACCACTAGATGATCATCGAGAGGTTATACTAGTATTGTTTTCAGATGATGGGAATCCCAAGTTTTGTCACGATCTGATGAAAACTCTCAAGGTTTCCACTTTTGGTTATTGTTTGATAATGTTTAACCTGGTATAATTAGTGGGATTTCCCACTTAAATCACGAAAGCGTATTCTTATCTCCGGGGTCGTAACAGTGATTGGTGTGTCCTTACACAATCATGTAAAAAAGAAGCTCAGAACAAACACTTTATAAAGAATTTAAAAAGTATTAGTACTGAAAAATCTCAACAGTTAAGACCTTGTTTGTTTATTGGGAGTGAAACCCCCAGAGAAAAAATAAGAAGCTGTTTCGAAAGTTTACGTTAATAATAAAGACAACTTTAAAAAGAACTTTTATCAGAAAATTGTTTTGTTTGTTTTTTTTTAATTTCGCGCAAAGCTACACGAGGGCTATCT